CCCTATTGAGTTAATTTGGGGCATAGCAAAAGGTTACTATAACAGACATATTGGTAGAGATGGTAACAGTGAAAAAGACTGTTTGGATATGTGGAACGAGGCTCTACAAACGGTTACCCCAGACATGTGGAAAAATAGTGTTCGACATACTGAGCAAGAAATTTTTAAATGGTATGAAAGAGAACGAATTTTTGATCGACCAGACATCGAACCTTTAATAATCAACTTTGAGAGTGATGAAGATTCAGATTCAGACAGCGCTGAAGAAAGAAACTCCGACTAACTTTATTGTACAGAAAAAGCTTACACCAGTAGCTTACCTAATTTTAGAATGCATTTTTCTGTATGAATTCTGTAAAATAAATACCATGCATAAAATTTGGAGGACCCCATTTCGATTTTTATTCAGTACCTTTAAGCTATCAATTAAATATGGTAGTTTCAGTGTCATCTGATCAATAATTGTCATACTTAATGATTATGCAAGTACAGATCTATAATTTTATTATACTATTATTTTTGTTCTCATTTGAGGTTAATATTGCTTATAAACCTAGATATGTAAATAATAAATTTTATTATTTTACAAAAAGTTTGGCAACAATGTAAATTTTTCAACACACCCACCTTGATGACGTGCACGCCACTTTGTTTGGCGTTGACTATACCTATATGCATTTAAACAAAAAATATGCCTTTTGCTATTAGCATTACTTACCTTTTAGCGATGTTTTGTAATATTTCCAAAAAAGGAGACTTTATTCTATGAATAAAAGAGAATTCCATAGAATGTATTTAAAAAAAAATAAAAATTTAAGGGATTTCCGTATAAAATTTTCTTTGGTCTAGATTTTAGGTTAGTAAACAAGATATCAAGATGCGGTTTTCACGAGCCATATATACTAAGTGACATATAAATCCGAACACCCAGTTTAAATGGTTTTATTTTAATAAAAGTTGGTGAATGTGTTTATCTTACTGTAAATAACAAGAGAAAACATTTTCAGCCTTATCAGTTGGACATTCCGGTTTTTATACTGCTTTTTTTTAATTCACTAACGCTCTAAAAATGAATATTTCAGCCGCAGTAAACAATCAACGTTGGCGGATTTTGGTTCTTGACATCCTTTACGATCAGTTACGATGCCTACGAGTACGGAGACCTGTACGATTTCGTCAACTTAGTGAATTTGATAGGGGCCGTATAGTGGGACTTCGGGAAGCTGGACTTTCTTTTCGGGCAATTGCAGTTAGAGTAAAAAGAAGTGTAGACACTGTGGTTAGGTGTTGTCAGGCATGGCTTCGAGAAGGCCGTACGCAAAGAGCAAGGGGCACTGGACGCCGCCGTAGAACAACAGACCGTGAAGATCGCCGCCTAAGATTATTGGTCTTAAGGGACCGTTTCTCCACTACAAGGTCCATTGCAAATGAATGGTTTGCAGAACACGGAAGACCTATTGGCATGCGAAGTGTTTACCGACGAATGAGAAGTTTTAGCTTGTTTTCATACCGGCCACACTGGGTCCTCCCTTTAACTCGAGAACACAGACGTAATCGCCTTGAGTGGTGCAGACAACGGTCACTCTGGGATCAGGAATGGAACAGTATTGTCTTTAGTGACGAGTCTCGATTTTGTTTAGGCATGCACGATGGTCGTGCCAGGGTTAGAAGGCGACGTGGTGAAAGGAGGAATCGACAGTTTTTTGTTGAAAGACATGTTCATCACACTGTTGGAGTTATGGTTTGGGGTGCTATAGCTTATGGTTCCAGGTCACCTTTAATCTTCATCAGAGGTAACATGAACGCGCAGCGTTATATCCACGAAGTTCTAGAACCCCATCTTTTACCCTATCTTGACACCCTGGCAGATCCAACTTTCCAACAAGATAATGCCCGACCACATGTTGCAAGAGTCACAATAGACTTCTTTCAACATAGTGATCTCACATTGTTACCATGGCCACCAAGATCTCCCGACTTATCCCCAATTGAGCACGTGTGGGATATGATGGGTAGGAGATTGCTCAATTTGCAACGTCCTCCCAAGACTCTAGAAGCACTTCGAGACGAGTTGGTGGTTGCCTGGAATGAGATACCACAGGAGGACATTGACCCCCTGATCAGAAGCATACCTAGGCGCGTTGGAGAATGCATAGCACATCAGGGTGCATCCACACATTATTAAAGGTCAAAGGGCTTTAAAGCAGTGCAATCATTTTGAAATTTTTATCATTTACTTATTATGTTTGATTAAGTACTTAAACAAAATATTATTAAAATAAAACCATTTAAACTGGGTGTTCGGATTTATATGTCACTTAGTATAGTTTAATCATTTAGCTACTTTCCGATAAAAAAAAATCATACCAATGCATTTAATTTTTTTGAGAAAATTAACGATTTCTGTCGGAGTTTCTAAAAAGGCCCTCTAGCAGCCACAGGTAAAACTAACAAAACTTCAAGTATTATAACATTTGTAGCCCAAGAATAGCTATTTTCAACTAACCCAAGTTTGTTGAAATCGGCTCGGCTGTTTCGAAGATACGGAAATCTTTAAATACCCCCCACCACTTTATTTTTAAAGATACATCAAAAATTATCAAACAAAAAAGGTTCTTGTTATCCCCGACTTTAAAGATCAGGGATTTTTTTATTAGCTTAATATAGCGGAATTCGCCGACCCATGACTTTTTTTGATTCAAGATTGCCGTTACGAAAATATTTTTCGGTTTTTCTCTTGACCGTTTTAGTAAGAACTCTTTTTGCCCCTGGCCTCTACGATGGATAGGTTCCCAGATACAGTACCTCGCATTCTTAGTTGGCCAGGCTGTATCACGAAAAACCATGTCGCTCATTTCCGTCGGTCTGTCTGCCTGCCTGTCGATCTGACCGCTAATCTTATAACCGCCTATAAGTTGGTAAGTACCTACCGCTCGGGTTTCGATGATTTTTTCACCAAATGTTACTGCTATGCCAATAACGCAAAGGCTTTATAGTTTTTGTAAAATCGGTGCAGTGTCGGCGGAGAAAAAGGCCAAAAACAGAAAAAATCGCTCAGATTTCGTTTTTTGTCGTTTTATACAAGATTGGTCACTTTCGGAAAGAAATTTGTAGGGGTTAGAAATTGCTGGTTAGGGGTTGCAGGGGATGGTGGAGGGTATATCTCAAATTTTTGGCATTGGTATACTTATACGCCTCCAACCCCTGTAATTCTACGTACATATTAGTCATATGTCACTCATAGATGTCTCCGTTCATTTACCCTTAAAACTTAAAAATATCTCCTACAGTCGGGTGTCGATACGTGCGACGTCTTTCCCGTTGGACAAGCGTCGTCGTCGGTAGTCGTACTTCACAATCGGCAATCGCTTCCACTCTACTGTGAGCCGCGTGTTCTATGCATGATGAAGGCCAATATCGTCATTCACGCGGCATTAGTCATCGCAACTATCATGTACACCTGCAGCAATTCCTCTGAGGAGGAGGAGAAGAAAGGCCATAGTCAAAGCTGATAGCTTTCGAGATAATTGTTCTTTTGTTTATCCTATACAGTAGAACAATCAGTTAATTCATGAGAACGCAGAAGCAATACAGAAATATAGAGATACATCTTTATAGAATTAACTACAGTTAGAAGATTTGAACTAAAGTATTAAGGAGTCCATAGTTTGTTCTTAGCTGCTTAGGTCCTATGGAATCTTCATCCAAGTCGTTTTATTGGGAACCCTTTCTTTATTAGATTGGCCACTAAGGAGTTAGGATGAGTGTCTAGTCTGTCATATTTGTTGAAGACAAAACCTTCAGTAGAAAATTGGTCATTTGACAAGACAACCTTCATGTATCAATTTACCTTTGTTATTAGAGCTATAATATGGTGGAAACTTTATTCAATAGTTAGCTAATGTAACATTACCCAATAGACTCCTTTCCAACATTCAGGTTCATAGAGCCAGCTAAATAATTATTATCTTCTTTGATGAACAGCTCCTCAGTAATTTGTTTAATTTTAAATTCTTCACAAAACTCGTCTTTTTCTCCTTTGATTTTTATATCACATGAGACACTTTGATCAATGTTTAGTTAGGTATTTATTTTCCACATCTGGGCTTAACATCTGCTTCGGTTTTCATTGCTTCTTGTACTACTATGAAATCGTTTTCCATTGCAACCTGATGAAAGATGGTTGCAGTCAAATATGCTATTTTACGTTGCTGACCAGAACTGAGATTTAACAGTACAAACAAAGATAAAAAACAAAATCTTTTCCCATAACAAGAGATATATAGATAATTGAATTTTTTTTTTAAATAATCTCACTGACTACACATTTCCTTCTCAATGACCTACAACTTTGTTTTTCATCTTATGCTTATTTTTTCGAGGCCAGGGACAAACAGCATATTAGCAGATTAACATAAAATGGCCTAAATATTATTTTGTACTAAGAAAATAATCAGACAGCAGCGGTGGCCGCAGTAGTAGACTCTTCGGTCTCCTGATCAGTCGCCGTGAGCTGTGCGGTACAGATTTCTGTAATTAGAAATATTTATGTAACTAAATAGGAACCTGTGATACGACGCTACCTAACTCCTCGTATCATTAATAGATAGCACCACCCAACAACGTTACAGGTTTCTATTATTAGATCTCAGAAATCTATAACGACATATATCTTTGGTTATGTCTTTCGTGGATAGATGGCGCATAATAATGTTCACAGATCAAAAAATTCCCCAAATTTGTTAAAATTCCTAAGTTTAGGAAATTTGAAGTTTGTAAATGGAAACCACCCCGCGTCATCTGTTTTTAATCAATCTGCATTCAGCATTTTTTAGCAGGCAGGGGCAAATAAAAGGCGTGTTTTCGTATTATCACTTTTATTCAAGTTCTAAGTGATGAAAAACAATGAAGCAGCAAAAGTATTCAATTCAGAATTAAAAATTAAACTGTAAAAAAAATAAATACTACAAAGTTACAAAAAACGAATAAAGAATAAATATGGCAAATAAATTAACTCCAGTCGACAAGGCGTGAAATATTTCTGTGGAAAGAATCGTAGGTAAAAGCAATATCAAAAATAATACATATTAAATGTTTTTAATAAAATAGATAAATCTGGAATAACATTTTTATTGAAAACTTTATGTAAAAGCACCCAAAGCAAAGGAAGTTATGCAGTCAACATCCTACAATGGAACCTACTTTCCAACAAAATTGTCGCTGAAAAGAGACCATATATGTACTTCGAAAATAACAAATACTCGTAAACAGTTCTATTTTCCAGTTTCTCAATAAATCTATTAACTTTTCTATAAAGAAAAAGGTCATTGATCTGTGGTTAGGTTTCAATCAAACTGTAGGTGTTACTTTTAGTCTATTGACATTAAAAATTCTTTTTCCATTTTCCAAAAAATACTTCACGCTATAAAATCGACTTCAGATCTGTTTTTCTCTTGCTAGACGTTTACCACTTGGCGTCTGAAGTATTATATTACAACCAATCGAGTGGAGGAAAAGAAAGTTTAAGTACAATGCTTCCAAAAAAATCCCGAAAAAATTAAAAAGACCTTCTCTGTAACAAAACATTTCGTATTATCAATAAAATGAGCTGCATGAGAAAATAATTCTTACCTCAAAATTTCAAAATATAAAAACCGAAAGTGGAAATTCTCGTGTCTTGCCAGACATTAAAACCAGAATATGTGCCTCATTGTACAGGGAGATTTACCCTGGTGGGTCAAACAACCATTTTGGAAACTCCAAAGGAGGAAGAGGAAAATTGGATATCACAAAACAGAAACGCCGCCTAAAACATTTCCCATCGATATTTTTCACAAATTTTCATGTAGTTTCATAGTTTTTTAATTTGACAAACACTAAATAAGCAGCTGAAACAGTCAGGTTTTTTCTTGAGAATACTTCTGGAAATGTGATTTTTGCATGTAGTACACCAGTTTTCAATATAAAAAAACAACACTGGATTATGCAACTCACAGTAAGAGCATCAAGAGTGTCCATAATGGACTGGAGCCTGACTGTCATACATATGGACGCACGCGCATAGAAAGTTTATGATGATTCCCACTACAAACCAGCGCAAATACCCAGCTAAAACAAGGATGTAAAGAACATGTTTCATAAGGAATGGATGTCAAAAATCGAATTCGATGGAAAACTTTTACATCATTTGTCTCTGTAGTGCTGTAATATGCGACTTAGTCTGCAAAATGCGGTCTTCAAGGAACTAGAAAGTTGTAATTCTAGCACACTGGAAACACGCCTTTAAATATCCTATCCTCATTCCAAAAATAATCCGAAAAAAGAAAGATCATGCTTATCTTCACTACACCCTGCCCATGCAAAGAACAAAATCGACCAATACAGACGATGAGTATATCGTGTGAACATGTTGACACCTGACAGTCCCGTATTGACATACCAAATATATATGTACAGTACCACTTTCTAAAAATGTTTATTGAACAGAATATGCAATTAAAAGATACATTTATCAGAGATCATTTCGAGTCAGCCATCAGCAAGCTACTTTTCAGAAAAATCAGTACCCTTGTGCTTATACATATAAAAAATATATAGAATGGTCTAAAAGAACACAACCATTGTTTTCTTTCCATATCATAATGATTTCCATCAAATTTTTTAGCACCATTGATAACATATTCTACATGAAGATAGGCAACCAGCCCAATAACTTTCTCTAGGTTAGCAGCTAGCATTAGTGATATTTACATATTTGCGTTTTTAAAACGTCCCTTTATTCTCATGTTTGAGTAACTTTTCCAAGATATTTTCGCATCTCAAAAAATGGCTGTGCAGCTTAAACAACTTTTTGTGAGTAAAACATTAGAGGTTAGGTTTGTGTTTGCAAACATTTGAGAGTCTTGCAATAGCTAGGTGTATGATATCCACCGCAGAGTTCAGTCTCTACAATATTGAGTTAAAATTGAAACCATGTTTTAACATAATTTTGGAACATTTGTTTTTGATATATTTTCCAATCATTTCTCTTGCAAGAAGACCACATTTGTATTTTAAACCTACATTTTTAAAATTAAACCTTTATCAGCTTTTGGGAGGAAGTTACACAAGAAACACAAATCAAAACTGCTTTATTTTGAGTTAGACCAATTCAGATTTGGAAAGGACTAAATCAAAGTTATCTTTATGTACAAATAAATATTTTCTTCGCAGAAGAGTGGGATATTTTAAACCCACATTTTTTAAATTAAACCTTTCTAAGTTTTTGAGCTGCTTCTGGGAGAAAGTAACAAAAAGAAGCACAAATCAAAACTGCTGAATTTAGAGAGCGATTTTCTTAGCAGAAATGTGGAGTTTGTAAGGTATTTGAAGCTACATTTTTGAAATTAACCCTTTATAGGTTTTTGAGCTGATTTTGGGAGGAAGTTGCAAAAGAAGCACAAATCAAAACTGCTGGATTTTGGGCTGTGCCAATTCAGATTTGAAAAGGACCAAATCAAACTTATCCCAATGTATATATACAGATTTTCTTCACAGAAATGTGAGATTTGTAAGATGCTTTAAACTTTGTAGTGGTTCAGTGTGGTGCGCGGCAACTCGGCAACAGTGGACGAAATTGTGATAGATCGAGCGAGGGGCAGTTGCCCTTCGCCGCCGAGAGAGGCAACAGGTGACGTGACCATCTTCCGGATTTAAGTATTACCGGGTTCTATGTTTTTTAAGTTAGTGAATTATTTTGTGCCTTACTACCATTAAAGTTTGTTAGCCATATCGCCGTCGTTGTTACTGAAACCCACGAAAAACCCTGAGTAATATTGTGTAAGCACGGATCCACTTCATTTGGCGCCCAACTCGTGGCGGTAGAACGGCGTAGCGCGATACGGTTGCAAGGTGTTAGATAGAGAAGGAACGAGACGCGACGAAAACGGTACGCGTAGGTGAAGACGGTTGATTTTGGCGGCACGGCGTGACGTAGAAGCAGGCGTTGAGGCGTTGCTGTGTTCAAGCGGCACGAGCCAGGCGGTGTTGTCGGTTGTAAGAGGAGTAAGCAGATCTGGGTGAGAAGTCATTTTCATTTTTGGAAAGCTGAGGGTGTGTATGCTGTTGGGGGGTTCTGTACGAGCACCGAGGCGCTGGTAGAGAAGCAGTGAGGCGTTAGGAGATAGCTGGTGGAGCAGAGGGGGATATGAACGATTATTTACTGTGTTGAAACAGTCATTGTAACAAAAAAAAAACTTTCCTTGTTTTAGTTTACTGTAGTATTGTAACGATTTGTCGTTTAGGTAAGCAGTAGAAATGTCTAGCAGAAAGTCGCGGAGAGGCAGGGCAGAGAGTACAAAGGAGGTGCAGGAGGACCTTGAGTCTTTAGTTAGAAATTTGGCAATATCAGTGACAGAGTTAAAAAGTACGGTAGGGCAACTAGCTGAGAAGGTGGCAACGTCCGACACACGATATGAGGGCCTGATGTCTGGAATAGAGACAGTGCCGGAGACTGTTTGTACTTCTAAAGGAATAGATGATTGTTCGACTGTAATTAAAGATAGATCCTATATAATAAACTGGAAAGAGTTAGGGGGTGGTAATATCACATTTTCAAACTATGGGCAAATGCACCCAATGCTATTTTTAAAGAAAATTGAAAAAATATTTAGCGATGCAGGTGTTCCTGAGCATGCGCAGTTGGGTTTAGCTGTTGGTTGCTTAAGAGGTTCGGCGGCCGATTGGGCTAGCGTTAAGGAGGATTGTTTTGCCGACTATGTTTCATTTCGCCTAGCGTTTAAAAATAGATTCTGGAGCATTGAAAAACAAAGAGAGTTGTATATGACGTTGGTCTACGGTACGCACTCGTATGGCAGTCGAGCAGATTATTTCTTGAATCTGGTGGCGCAAGCAAAGTTTCTTGATAATAAAATTCCGATGCAAAATGTAATTGGAATGTTGGTAAAACATTTTGATGTGGAAGTCCAGCGGGGCATGATTATTAATAATTTTACGTCGCCTGATACGGTAGAGGAATATCTGAGACGTATTGACGAATTGTCTACTGTGGGGGGTTCGAATAGGAACATGAATAATGCGCAGGGTTATAGTAATCGATCTGAAAATAATCGAACAAATTCCGAGCGAGAGATATCGAGAGATACGCGGCCGACCGCTAGGGGAAATAATGAGGGACATACCGTGCGTTCACTGGCTTGCATGGGGGATCCAGACATCGATCTTTTAAGCGACCCGGAGGATATAATGCAGGATGATGAAAAAGTTTCGCCGACCATATCGATACATATTTTTGGTATGTTAGTAGAAGTATTGATCGACAGCGGCTCAGATATATGCGCAATCTCGGAGAAATTCTATTCAGAGTTAAGCAATCTCGGGAAATTTCCAATTTTACCGGTCATACGAGGAGTGATCTCTGTAGCAATAGGCGGTAAAACGCAGAAGATAAAGTCGCAAATCTTGATTCCAGTTCAATTAGATGGAATAGATATGGATGTGAACTGTTTGGTTATACCACAACTCAATTGCAATTTGATATTTGGATCAAATTGGTTATCCAAGCATCATGCACGTTTGGATTATCAATATTCACAGCTAATGATAGAAGGGGTTTCCATAAATACGAAGCTGTCATTTCGGATTGATCCGCAGAAAATATCTATAAACCTCTGCGAGAAAAATGATTATGTGTTTGATGTAGTCGAAAATAAAGCTAGCAGGGTTACGCCACTGGTAGAGTACAGCGTTGATGACGGTGATTCCCGCAGTAAAGGCTACAGCGCGAAGGATATTCAGGCAGCAGCAGCGAAAACTACTTTGAGTGCGAGTGCTAAGGCTTCACTTTTAAGTATTTTGGAAAAATATAGGAATACATTCTCTGATACACCGGGACGCGTCGTCAACTATTTTCATCAAATTGAGCTAGTGGATGAAAATGAATTTAATTTTGTGGCTTATCCTGTTCCTATGGTTTATCGGGATGAAGTTAGAAGGCAGATTGGTGAAATGTTAGCGGCTGGTGTTATTCAAAAGGCAAGAACTTCCTACATTTCGCCGTTAGTTTGCGTGAAGAAAAGGGATGGGAATATTCGCGTGTTTTTGGACGCTCGGGGGCTGAACTCAAAGATGAAGAAGGATTTCGTGAATCCTCCCAATCTGTCTGAATTAATGGCCAATTTTAAACAGGGGCAAATTATGAGCACAATAGACTTGACGCAAGCATATTGGCAAATTCCAGTATTGCCGGATCATACCAAATATCTTGGGTTTGTGTTCGAGGGTGAAACATATAGTTTTTGTCGATTGCCATTTGGGTTATCTACTTCCATGGCAAGTCTTATTCGATGCTTAAATAAGATATTGGAGGGCTGTAATGATTTCGCGCAGTCATATGTTGATGATTTATTAATTTACTCGGAGAACATAGCGGATCACTTAAGGCATTTGAAGACGATTTTTCAGAGACTTAGTGATGCCGGAATTACAATTAAACTAAGAAAATGTCAGTTTATTAGGGAAAAGGTACATTTTCTAGGTCATGTGATCACATCAAGGGGAATCGAAATAGACGAGGGGCGTGTCAAAAATATTTCTGATTTTCCTGTTCCACGAAATATAAGAGAGCTGCGAGGGTTCTTGGGTCTGGTCAATTATGAACATCGATTCTGCGCCGGGTATGCCGAATTGACCATGCCTTTGTTGAAGTTGCTGAAGAAAGGAGAAAAATGGCGCTGGGGAAGCGATGAAATGGAGAGTTTTAGAGCTATTAAGTCAGCCTTCCTAAAGTCCATGATGCTTGTTCATCCTGATTTTAAGCGCACTTTTTATATTCAATGCGATGCTTCCGCATATGCCGTGGGGGGCAGTCTTTACCAGATTAGCGATACGGGGGAGAAACAATATGTTTGCCTCATGAGTTCTGTTTTGAATGGAAGTCAATTAAACTACACCGTAACGGAAAAGGAAGCTTGGGGGGTTGTCTCTTGTTTACGTTTGTGGCGCTTCGATGTAAACTGTACGACATTGAAGGAGGATACAGGTGTGGCGTATGAAAAACTGAAGAGGGAGGCTTCAAAAAGGGTAAAGAGGGCTAAAGTGATGAAACCTGTTACTTTTGACCCGGGCGATAAGGTTCTAGTTAAAACGCATCCTCATTCGTCCGCCGAAGCTAAACTAATTTCTAAATTCTTTTTACTGTATGATGGACCGTATACTGTGTTACAACAAGCGGGACCCAGCTCCTATGTCATTGGACATCTTGATGGTAAGATTCGTTCTAAGGAAAATGTAATCAATCTCAAAGCTTATAAGCAGCCTAGCGATGTTGTACTGGAGTAATGTTCCCGGTATTGCCTTGCACCCTCTGCTCTGTTTCGAGACAAATCTATGTTACCTCGATTTAAGTGGGGGGTTGTGTAGTGGTTCAGTGTGGTGCGCGGCAACTCGGCAACAGTGGACGAAATTGTGATAGATCGAGCGAGGGGCAGTTGCCCTTCGCCGCCGAGAGAGGCAACAGGTGACGTGACCATCTTCCGGATTTAAGTATTACCGGGTTCTATGTTTTTTAAGTTAGTGAATTATTTTGTGCCTTACTACCATTAAAGTTTGTTAGCCATATCGCCGTCGTTGTTACTGAAACCCACGAAAAACCCTGAGTAATATTGTGTAAGCACGGATCCACTTCAACTTACATTTTTGAAATTAAACCGTTATCGGTTTTTGAGCTACGTTTGGCAGAAAGTTAGAAAAGAAGCACAAGTCAAAACGGCTGGATTTTGTTTTGGACCCACTCAAATTTTGAAAGGACTGAATTAAAGTTACTTATATATGAATACAGATTTTCTTCACCGAAATGCAAGATAGGTACTAGTTATTCGCGTTACTTTTTCACTTTTTGCTGCATTATTTTATTTCGTCTTGTGGGTTGTGGTGTTATTTGAGAGTTCCTATGAAGGATAAAAGAGCAAATAAAAAGTGCAAAAGAAACACAAATCAAAACTGCTGAATTATGAGTTGGACAAACTCAGATTTGTAAAGGACAAAATCAAAGTTATCCCTATTACTTTTTTAGTTCCGCAGCATTATTTTATTTCATTTTTGTGATCTTAGTTGTTCTTTGAGATTTCATATGAAAGATAAAAGAGCAAATAAACAGTGCTACTACAATGGTGTTTCAGTTTAACTAGCTGCTGTATGGACTTGCCATTTTTTTTGTTGTAAAACATGTAGCAGTAACGCCTTGTATATGAAAAATAAGCGACACGAATACAGTAAACATACTGCAGACAAATCATCCCAATCAGATATTTGATACTGACAAGAATACGCTGCAAGCTTGACTTTTTTGTTATTATGCATAGATTCATTATTTTAAGGTTCAGTCATGTCGGTAAATGAGGTTTAATTTATAGTTCACAATTCCGCGCTCTTTCTGCACGTAAGCCGCTTATGTTCCTTAGGACTTGATACATTATTATTTTGGTGAAAGTTGAAAGTGAAATATTGCAGTTAAAGGTAAGTGCTTCAACAGAAACAGTAGTCCTTAACCTTCGCAAAACTTGTGAGTTTGAGAAAGTATCTTTATAGGTTACAAAAATCTAACCTAAAATATGAATCTTGTACATAGGCAGAAATACGGGCCAAATTTCTGCACGGCGGTAGGCCATATTTTTGACCATTTCATCCTTCTATCCTAATTCAGTTTTTTGTTTTTCAGGTCGAAAATAGGGAAATTATGTAGGGGAGTTCGAGGAAATTGGACTCAAGATATGATGTCGGAGGCTTTACAACTTCTTAGGAGCGGTAAAAGCCAACGATACGTGTAGCAAAAATGCGGAATTCCTAGAACCACGTTACGGAATCATATAAAATCTGGTCTTAGCGATAGAATGTTAGGTCGTAAACCTTTACTTACTTTCGAACAAGAGGGAGAGTTGGAAGCTCGCATTTTAAAGCTCTCTCGTTTAGGACTACCACTCACTCCAAAATCCGTGCGAAGAAGTGTCTACCAGTTTTGTATAACCAACAATATTTCACATAAATTCAATAGCTCAAAAGAGATGGCTGGGTTCACGTGGTATAAAATTTTTTTGGGGCGGCATCCAAAAATATCGAAGAGTTAAGCTCAATCCATGAATGCTGCGAGGGCTCAAAAATTAAATCACGTTATTGTGAGAGACCACTTTGATAAATTGTTGAAAGTCCTTAACGAATTAAGCATTCGAAACTCACCACAGCGGATATATAATCTTGATGAAAAAGGGTGCCGCCTAACTTTACATTATTCTCAGTTAGTCTTGGCATCCAAAGGGGAACGCAGGGTCCACAATATCTGCAATGAACATGCAGAGAATGCAACAATTGTTGCTTGTGTTAACGCTCTTGGGCAGGCTGTGCCGCCTATGTTAATATTCAAAGGCTTGCGGAAAAAGGACTCTTACAGCGACAATTTGCCTCCTGGGTAGATACTTGAAATGTCTCCTAAAGGCAGCATGACACGAGAAATATTTCTTAAATGGTTGCAGCATTTGTCAAAGTATAAACCTGCTGGTAAGGTTCTTCTGATTTTGGATGGTGCCTCCTGCCATTTAGATATCTTAATCGTGGAAGCGGCTGAACAACATGACATTTCACTTTACTGTTTACCGTCAAATACGACGCATGAACTACAACCGCTGGATAAGGCGGTTTTTCGTAGTTTCGAGCATTATTGGGATATTGAGTTGATGAAGTACTGGGAGAGTAATCCTGCTGCAATGAGAGTATTAAAAAAGGAGAGATTTGGACTTGTTTTCACCAAAGTTTGGCAACAAGCAATGACGATACGCAACATTCAAAGTGGTTTCAGGTCAACAGGAATTTTTCCCTTCGACCCAGATGTTATTCCAGAGACTGCTTTTGCTCCATCTACCTTGACACATAAAGACATTCCTGAAGTGATGGATGCTGAAGCGGAAAGTTATAATAGCTCAGATGATGATCTGCCACTTGCATATTTCCTTAAGAATAATAATCCATCAACAAGAATGAAAATAGATGAAAAATCGAGTGCTGGTTCTTCTCACTGGACTGATCAACAAGCGTCTGCTATTACATCTGATACGAATAAAAAAATTAATATTTTAAATGTAACTATTATCAAGACTAAAATGCAGGACTCCGTAAATAAAGGAGCAAAATGTTCAGCACCTGAGAAAAATTTGAATTTCTCAGAAATCCTGAACACGAGAATCAAGACCAAACAGGAAGGCATTAAATTATAAACCGCAGCTGTTAAAAAGAGATATTTACCGAACACTCATATCAAGCAAACTCAACGAAGTCGTCAACAAGCCAATCAAAGCCGAAAGAAAATTGGCTATGTGGCGGGTGCAATGAGGATTCTGTAAGTGATATGCGACAGTGCGCCAGTTGCCTATTGTGGATCCACGAAATAAGCGTTGGATTGACTGCCGAGGACACAGAATGTTTTATTGCTCTAATTGTTCGTCTGAATAATTAAGTTAATTGAGGCCCATATTTCTAACCACGCTTCGGAACTTGGGCCATATTTCAGCGAAAGTCAGAAATATGGCCCAAAATTTTATTTCCTTTACAGTTCTTCTACACGTTGCGAATAAAAATATTTTTTTTATTTGTTGGCATTTATTTTTGTATTGCTCTCGAACTGAAACTGGGCCATATTACCCGACTGTACCTATAGCTCAAAAATAACGCATCTGTAATTGTTTTACTTTCCAAACTGCATCTCTACTAAACACGCTTTTCAACGTTTCAATTGATTGTTATGTCCTGCTACTGTCTCATATCTGTCTCAAATTCTTCATGTGGAATATGTTGATCAAAGGTTGCAAGATTTATTATACACATTGGCTACCAAGAATAAATAATTTGAATTTTCGCTTTGTAAAACCTGTGTGATGAAAACCAATGTGTAGCGAAACAGCAATAGATGAAACGGGACAGTTTTCATTGAACTTCAGACTATCCTGTATAAATAGGTATAGGAAGGGGCTGATATACCTCCAAGTTTAGGTACCACAATTATAAATAATCATATCACATCAGTTTAAGCTAATAAACGAGATTACGAAAAGTATTACGCAAATAACGATCAACCTCTGTCGTTCTCCGTCGCACAAATTTTCCATTTTTTGTAAAATTCACTGCACTTTTATGTTCCATACTCGGAAAACGTAATCCAGGAACAATGGTTGAAAATAGTTGCGAAAAATTGCGGTTTCAAACGATTTATCCAAATGAGTGTCAGATCCTAACAATAAAAATATTTTCACAAATATCAAAATATTTACAAAAAAAGTTGCATTAATTCATCATTAAAGTAGGCACTCAAAATGTCAGCTGTCAATCTATGTTTGCACCTGAAGATTTCAAAACAGAGCTGGAGGTATATATCAAATCACAATTTTCAACGGAAAAATATCACAACTAATTACGTATGTAATTAAAATAAATGGACGAAACACTACAAGTTTAGCTTCAAAAATGTGTATATCTTGATCGCATTAACGAAAAAATGGCCCATGCATGCTAAAAAGTGGGTACCTCCTTCAAAAGCCATCTTTTTGAAATCTCCAAAATCTCTGATTATATAAAACTAAACAAAAACACTAAAAACGTCATCCAACAATGAAAATTTCTTACACCAATTCATTATGTGATGTCCTGATGAAACTATATGCGAGGCTGAAGCATTGGCAAGAATTCTCAGTCTAGTAAAAACCACATCTAAATATTGTAGTTCGGAGGATTTGAAATTTTGAAATTGGAAAATCGGTAAAGAGAACGACATAGGCATAAACTTAACAAAAAAGAATATAGCATCAGCACATGATACCGTTACTCAATATGATGGGTCGAGAAGTCGAGATAGGGAAGAAAAAAATGATAAGGGGGTTCAAAAATCGGGATACGACTAAAAAAAAATGTGGATATTCTGACAAAATATCGGTTCAGTTAAACGGCCGTGAGTAGACTGTCGCGAAAGAACTCACAGATTTGTAACCTGTGATTTAATGTAATGACATTTTTCTATTCTGTGTATCTAGCAGGAACAGTCTGGACTACTCAGGATATATGCGTAATTTTACAGATAAAAAGTCTTCAAAATTTGGCGCCAATTACCTGGGTAAAATAAACAGTGTAACTTATCCTTGAGGCGAAACCTGTATTACCTGTTTTTCAAATAAATCTTCGATTTCACAGTATATACAAATAAATGTGCTGCAAGTCACTCCATTCTACAAAATATTGAACTCCTAAGAAGGGACATTACAAACGATTTTACACCACTATATCCACATTTTTTCAATTAGTTTTCATATGTGAAGTTTGGCAAGAAAATCTACAGATTATATGTGTTTGAACCGAAAATGTACAAATCGAATCGAAGGTGTTTTGTGGTTTTGGCATAAATACTATAAAATATGTAAACTTTCTTGCTCAAACTGTCACCTTCCCAATTTGCGCGTTCGATTTGTCGATACGATCGGAAGAAGAGACTGATAGACAGGATGCGACCATTTTGAACAAACCATTTTAATGATGTTAACTTTTTGATGTTAATAGTACTTGGTGGTAACATATCACCAGTCAGTGCGTCTAGAATTGCCACAGATGTGAGAAAGCATTGATTAACGTAACCTGAAGAAAGCCAACCTAATTTCAAAGTAGATTTCGAATTAGTGTGGGGAGGAGAACAATGGCTGTGATAAATTCTCATAGATGATGCTATGGTATCCTATTTCATATCGAATAACCCAGCTCCGTAAAATAAAAAATGGTATGTGCGTGGGGTGCCATTATGTCTTCCCCATGTACTTGTTCACGCTGAACACGAATCTGAAGTCAAAATTGGGGGTCGCTGGACAAATAAGAAAGTAACTGAGATTGTCATTGCTGATGGATATTCATCTTTAAGGGATCTAAAGAGATGCACATCCACCAAAAATGCCAAAATGTGGGATATTGTCTGAATTACATTCTTATTTGTCCAGCAACCCGCAATTCTGACTTCAGATACGAACACGAGTTCACCAGGAAAATACCACTTTTTAGTTTTGTGGTCCTGATGGTTTTCATAGTTTTCATACGATTTTTCTAAAATTTGTCCTGCGATCGTCAATTCTGACTTGATTTGTGTTCAGCGAGAAAAAGTGCATGGGGAAAACATAGTGGGACCCCAGGCACATACCACTATATGTTGTGGGCCTGTGTAAGTGTTAAAGCTTTCTTTAGCACCGTTTGCGCTTTACAATTCCTGAAAACGAGAGGGGTGGGCCTTGTTCCAGCACTTTTCTTATAGCTTTTGACATTTATGTAATACTTATTTGCATCCATTTTCGGCAAGATAGTTAAGACCCTAGGTTTTTCATATCATTAAATGTTTCGTGGCAAAATTAACATCAACATAACTCTTGAAACATATCCTGTGTTTCTTATGGTCACAGAACTCCTTTGTATGGCTCAAGAAAACCACATGTATGTTTAAATTCATTTTTATTGTACGACGTTTTGACCACCACGATGCGCTTTTTCAAGTACTGTCATTATTGAACTTGAAAAAGACCACCATGGCAACAACTTCGTACAATAGTTTCATTGGGCCAGACAATGGAGTCCTATGAAAATTAACTTCGTTAGACATCAGAATACGGCTAGACTCCCGCTTTCAATAACCTACAATATTTTCCAAGGGAATGTCATGGAAAGTAACTGGCTCATCAAGGTCAAAGAATACAATTTCTCGAAAGGTGATGCCCACTTTCTATCAGTTATTCTATTCCCTCGTTTTGAAAAATTAGACAAGGGTTGTGTTATAAGGATAAAGTGGTAGATTATCGATCGTTTGTCTGTGTATCTATGTTCTAATGCAGTATTACATCGAAACTTGTTGATATTAGATAAAACGTGATGATATTCCCATGATTATAAATACCTTACTTCAATAAAGCTGTTGTATTTGGAGTGAAATAATGTAAGAAAGAGATACAAAATTAGTCAAATTGGAGCAACATTTTAGTTACATATATCAAAAAGCCGCACCTACAAAAATGTTGGATTCAAAGGGTTTTCGGAAATAAACAGATAATTCCGGAAATATTTTTTTTGACACGCGTACTGTTCCAGAAATGAAAAATCAAATCTTGACCGACTCTGTTAAAGACGATCTTTACAACAACAAAAAAGAGAAACTTCATTTGAAATGTTAAATTAACAGCTACATATACCCAGAGCTACTGATTAAATACCCGATACAAAGGAACATTTTCAAAATTATACCTTGCAATAAAGGTAGTTTTTAAAATAAAGTGACAATTTGAATCATATTATTTTTTGACATGGTGTAAGTTAAATAAAGTCGAATTCAACTACCATTATGATTTGTTCACGAAAACTGGCTTTTCTATCTTCGAACGTTTGTTTTCTGAGTGATTAGACATATTGTATACACTGGTAATAACCGGTAGCTCAAAAAAATGTTTCATTATCTAACCAATTTCAACAGAAAATATTGATACAAGAGCCTATGTGTTAATGTTCGCTAGTGTCTTTTGATAAGTGTTTCAATTGTTGCTAAAATCGCTGACCTAAAATGTCTGCATATTTTCGAAATCAAAAAATAAGGCAAACTCCGAAGTTTCGGGCGGACCTTACTACTAGCAAGCAGGTTCTTTGAAATATTTCTTTAAACGACTGTTTGGCATGTTCAAATCAAAGTGAGCTAACTGCTGGTATGTTAGTTATTACCACCACAACCGTCAAATAACAAAAAAAAAACCTTAAAATGGGCAGTTCAAAATACTTGCAACCTTCCTACATATACAGATAGAAAAAAATGGAGATGGGCAATGACAAAACGAACGTGAACGAAGGAACGAACGAACGAGGAGGATCGACAAGAGTTTTAGGCTTCGGTGGACGCGACCAGCGACCCTTTGGGCGTGTAGGCCGTCGCGTTGGGGTCCAAATTGGAGGGGGGACTTTCGGCCAATCGCACGCGACTGATTGTACTGGAGGCGGAGCCTGTTGACAGCCCCAGAGTGTCGTTCGGCATTACCGCCAACACTTGGGCGATCTTCGATTTCAGCTCTTCGATCTCCTTTTCTTGGGCACGATTCGCGGCTGAAAAAAAAAGAACGATCAAAACAGATATATAACAACTAAATTAATCCCAACATTTACAAGTTTATAGAGGGACAATGGAAAATACAAAATAACACTCTTGAACATAATACTACAACTGAACATTCACATCAACAATGGCACCATATTAGATTCAATAAATGGTAAGTTCGTAAATTTGTTGACTACATTTTGGCAAGACACAGATATGAATAAAATTAAGATAAACATTGATAGTGATTTAAAGTAAATTAAAAAATGGTGTGACAACAATTACTTGACTTTCAATCTTATAAGACACAATTTATGACATTTAAATGCTTTCTTGATTTTAAAAATGTTGATAACAGATTGATACACAAAACAGACACCAACTGTTGAGACTGAACATTGATCATAAATTAGATTTTACTAATGTAGATAAATTGCTAGCAAAGATTTTCGTTATTATAAGAACAATTAGTTATAACGTGATGAAAAGCACAGTCTTAAGCAGTTATATACTTAGATTAATTTGAAAGTAGATTGAGATATAGCATTCCTTTTCAGTGTATCTATTCCCAAAACTGTTTTGAAGAAGTGCTTATTCTATAAAAAACGAGCTATTAGATATGTAACTAAAAGCAATAGTAGAGCTATATGCAGGTCTTTATTTGTAAATCTTAAAATAATGACTGCCGTATCATTGTTCATTTTAGAAACAAAAAATCTAAACATGTAACAATAAATATTAGTTGCAATATTAAACGAAAACAAGATTTTAAATTAGTAGTCTCTAAATCAACACTTGTGAAAGGCTCAATAATTTATAATCGTCTGAAAATTTACATGTGTCTCCCTGAGGTGTTAAAAGAATTAACAACTTAAAGATATTCCGCCGTGAGATTAAAAGCTTTTTAATATGTAAACCATATTATACCATGTGTGAGTTCTACAATTCCCCTACTCAATATCCACTTATGTATCTGTTATAGTTCAATTTTAAGTTTTAGTATTAGAGAAGAATGACTTTATTCTTCGGACAATACAGCATAATCTAGCTATCTATCTATTTTTTCATTTCACTTTGAAATATTAAGGGTGTTTTATTTGTTTCAAATACTGAGGGAGTATATTATATAGTTGAATTCTGCCGCAGAAGATGCTTTTTCCTGATTATTCGAGATTTAGAAAGTTTTGTGATGAAATTCTTGTGTCAGGTTTTATACATATGGACAGATCCAATATTTTCGAAAGTGAAACTTGAATGCTTGATTTTGTTTTTAACAAGGTGTATAAACATACATGTTTTGTAACAGGCAATAGAATCAATGGATATTTTTTTTTATATCGAAGCAGGAGCGCAGGCAGAAGCCTAAATACCGGAACACAGCGGCTGCTATGATGATCCCAAAGAAATTTTATTAAACGATTTTTGAACTGCTTAAGTTTAATAGAACTGAGAAAAGCTTCCTCTTGTAGATTGTTCCACAATCTCGACACCCTCGGGACAAAGAAGCGGTCGTATCGGCCGGTTCTGGATGTACGAAGTTCGACACGGTTAGGATGGGACGCCAAAGTCAGGCGGGTCTGTCTGGCAGGAACATCGCGCGGCGGCATCATGGTAGAGAGCTCTGAGAAGCAAAGCCCGTTGGTGTAACGGTAGAAAAGAGCTAGATCGCCGACAGCCCGCCGGTGCGAAAGAGTCCCGAGACTGTCTGCTAGAGAAGAGTCATCGATCAGCCGGACCGCCCTCCTCTGGACAGCATCGAGCATGGATAATGTAGTCGGGGCGGCAGCACCCCAAACGTGTGAGCAATAGGCCTTATCTGGGCCTTGTATAGAGTGAGAAGGTCATGCGGAGAAAAGTACTTCTTAGCCCTAAACAAATAGCCTAGCTTTTTCCCAGCGTCTGCAGCTATTGACGAGATGTGTTCGTGCCAGATCAGGTCCTCGGTGATCTGGACTCCGACTAGCCGAAGTGAATGGCTCTTTGGTAGAAACTCGGCCGTCCATCGAAACTGTATGAGCGCTAGGACGCTTTTTGTTCGTCAAAGTACAGTACTGTGTTTTGGAAGCATTGAACTGTACAAGATTGTTGCGTCCCCAAGCAGTGATAGCCTCCAGGTCCCTTGTCAGAGAAGAAGTCGTCGCTAGTCTTCTTTTTTCCAACTCGGCGGCAGAGATCGGCTTGTCACTCTGAATTCCTGCATGTAGAGTGCTGTCATCAGCGAAGCTGCGGATTGAGTTGATCGTGCAGGAAAGGAGGTCGTTGATATGTAAGAGAAATAGTGTCGGAGCCAAGACCGATCCCTGGGGAACACCCGCGTTGACGTTGTGGGATGAAAAGTAGAACCCGTCAATTACGACGGATATCTTGCGGCCAGAGATAAAGTCAGCCACCCATCTGCAAAGCTTTTCTGGGAGGCCATAGGATGGAAGTTTGCTTAAGAGGGCAGCGTGCCACAGCTGATCGAACGCTTTCGTGATGTCAAGAGCAACGACATGAGCATCACCATAAGACTGGATGAGTTTACTCCACAATTGAGTGACGTAAGCTAGGAGGTCCCCTGTGGATCGTTGGTGCCGGAAACCATACTGCCTGTCGCTAATCAAGCCGTGACGTCGAGGTAGACCTGAAGCTCACGATTTATGCACATCTCCATCACCTTACTTAAAACAGAAAGCAGAGCTATATGCCTGTAGTTGTAAGGGTCGGTAAATGGTAAATGGTATTTGGATCCATTGGAATTCGCAAATATAGTGCCCCAAATTCATGCAAGATACTGCAACTGTAGATGCACCTATATAAAATATATGAGCCTAAAATATTTCAGTGGGATGTGGTCTGTAATTTCGCATAGGATGCCCAAAATCGATATCGTTTTTATTTTTAGATTTTCAATATGAATATTCGAATTTAGATCAATATTTAGGCCACAAAATTCAACACTGCTAACGTATTGAATGCATTTAATCAAAAGTGTCAGGTCTCCATGTTTTCTCTAGATGTTTGTGTCACTATTGTATAAAACGATTTTTTGAAATTTCTAACCATTTTAAGAAAATATAGCCAGTCACATAATTTCATTAAGTCCATATCCATACTTAGCTTAATTTGTAGCGATGTGCCGAGTACGGTTTGACTCGAGTCAGACTCGATTCCTGCTTTAGAACTCGCCTACTCGAATACCAATTTATTTTGATTCGAGTACGCCGGTACTCGAGTCATGAAGAATCGATTCGTACTCGCTAACTCGATTCTATTTATACGAGTCCAACTGACTTGAGTCTCGTATTCGAGTTTGGTTAACTCGCTCGTACTCGCAAACTGTTTACATAGCGTGCGGCCACACATAAAGCTGCTAGCGGCGAAGGTAGCGAAGAGGAAGACGGAGAGTACTGCGGATACTGGCTTCACATGTCGCTGGTTTGGAGGCGTATTTTAATTCGCAAATTCCATAAACAGTACAGAGCCCAGGTGACGGTGGTGTTGTTATTACGGAAAAATGTCTCTTGCTAATAATTTATATTTAATCGAAAATTCTAGATTCTTCTACAGATAATGCTCAACAATTTGTTGTTGACGAGTTGATGATGTTGGAAACACAGGAATCTCAAGCTCAATTCCAGGTGCCAAATACTCCAAATAGATGTCTCCTGCCACCTACTTCACGTCTCGAAACACCTACAACTTCATCTACAGATTCCCAGCAGACAACTTCAGAGGTGACTGGCGAGAATTTATGGGAGCATCTAGATAAAAGGGTATTGGAATTTTCAAGTATGGAAAACCCCACATCAGCAATTATCAAGGTGAAACAGTATACGTAGAGGCGTAGAGCTACCGTATTTGGATAGAAAAGCCAATCCACTGAAATTTTGGGAACTTCGCAAAATCACCAACAGCGGCCTTTATAAAATAGCTTTGAAGTATTTATGTATTCCAGCCACTTCTGTGTCTTCGGAACGAGTTTTCTCTAAGGCTGGACTTTTATGCAACCAACGCCGCAATAGACTGGAGTAAAAGAAGGTTTAGCAAATATTTTTTTTTAACAGTTATTTGAAATAACTTTTATTCTCTTATCTCTATTTTGTTTTTTTTTATATATATATTCATTTAGTTATGTACGGTATTGTCAGTACGGTTTAGGTTGCTTAGGTGGATCTGAATGCCATCCCAAATGTTATATTCTGAGCTGTTGAGTTTGTGTACCTACTTTTGCAAAATTAAAATGGTTTGATTTTAATGCTTGCTATATCTGTCTAGTGTTTAGATGTATAAGATTCCTTAAAGCTGTCTCTACTAATAAATAAATAATAATATCTAGTCTAAGTCGTGAGTAAATTTGATTATGTTCTATGTTTTATTATTTATCTCCATAGAACTCCAATGCTCTATGTTTTTATTTAACGTTTATAATTATCTTTTATTAAAAATTATTGATTTATTATTGTTGTGTCATTATGCTTAACCTAACCTACACGCTGTTTGAAGTTAACTCCTTTTCACTTTTCCCTTTTGTTCTAAAATCGGACTCTAGTTCTGGACTAGAATTTTCAGATTCGAATTCTGGACTCGAATTTCTAGACTCGAGCCAAGCCGGACTCGAGTCAATATTCGAATACCAAACAGAGAATTCGAGCACTGGTCTCGAATCAGGGAATCGATTCATGATTCGAATACCGTATAAACTGACTCGAGTCGACTCGATCCATCAAAACAGCGACTCGGCACATCACTATTAATTTGATTAATATTTTCAGAACAGTAAATCTAATCTACATCTACATACAAATTGATGTCTCCTTCCAAAAGCAATTAATAAACTGACATAAAGCAGGAATATCAATGGCCCCAAAACCGATCCTTGGAGATCTCCATAAGTGTTTTTTCTATAGAAACTTCCATTGCCATTAGTACATACAAATTGATTCCTATCTTGAAGATGATTTTTAATGCATTTCATAGAATTTCCTCTTATACCTCTTTCGTACAATTTATTTAGTAGTATGGAATG